CTATGTTTGTTTACCCTAGATTTTTCCGATCACCATCATGATATAACGATACAACACACCTGATGATTCACGTCCTCTTTTACAACTGTGCTGCTGAGTAGCGATAATAATTTGTGTTTATAGTTAACTTTAACATATAACTTGTTCATTAAATGCTGAAGGCATGTATTATTAAAAATTATTACATATATATAACGAAGGATATTTAAAAGCCTGTCTATATGAGCCAGGGTTTTATAATGCAAGTCACCGGATCTGACGATTCCTTTAATGAGGTTTAAAGACAAGGTGCTGGCTGATTGTAATTAAAATTTCATCGTTATTTATTATTATTATTTATTTTACAATTAAAAATGAATAATCAGCTTAATATATATAAGACGTTGTATCATTTACGACGTTATTTTTATTGGAAAAATATGAGTAAAGACGTGAAAAGAGTTGTTAGTAGGTGTGATTTGTGTCAGCGAACCAAGCATTCATCTCAGCCATCTGAGGGAGAATATCAAATGGTCAGAGCGGATAAGCCTGGTGACCTCATAACTGTTGATTTTATGGGCCACTCCCAAAATCTATAGGTGGAGTACAATATATTTTAGTGGTGCTTGATGCATTTTCAAAACTGGTTGCTTTGTATCCTATGAAGCGTGCGACTACTAAGGCCACGTTGAACAATATCCTTAATAAATACATCCCAACATATGGAAAACCTGCTCGAATCCTTTCAGATAATGGTACGCAATTCACAGCACATCTTTGGCGAGCTGCCTTGGAGCAGCAGGGAGTTCGCGTTATATTTTCGTCAATTCGACACCCGCAGTCTAATCCTACCGAGCGAGTGATGCGAGAATTAGGTCGGTTTTTTAGAGCTTACTGTTATGATCAACACACTCGCTGGGCGAAACATATAAAACGTATCGAAACTTGTTTAAATATCACCATTCACTGTAGTACAAAACAGATACCATATGAGTTACACTATGGTGAAACGGTCGAGGATAAAATTCGTAAATTACTTAGTTATCCAGAGTCAGTACCTCTTGATCGTACAATCCAGCTGCATCATGCTAAAGAAAGATTATTTAAGAGTTATGAACAGCGGGGTGTAAACAACAAAAAAGAGTAAGTCGAGTTGTTATTGAAGTTGGTGACAAGGTGTTATTACGAGTACCTCATTTGTCTAGTAACACCGATAGGGTTACTCACAAATTTTTCCATTTATTTGAAGGACCTTATGTAGTTTCTACCAAGATTGGTGCCAACACGTACACTCTGAAATCGTGTGATGATGATCATATTATTGGTACATATAACCGAGCGAGTCTCAGAAAGTACTGGTCTTGACAATGAGCATTTTAGCTGGAAGTAAATTTTGGGCGTCCTGCCTCGTTCGTTCTCATTCTAACCTGCCGTATTATGAATTTTTATATGAGTTATTAAAAATACTTAGGACGACAAATCCAAAGGTCAATCGGGAGGGAGGATGTAGTAGTGAGTGGACTAATTAATAGGACTAAGCAGAGGTTAAGTTTTGATATAGAATGTCATAAAAGGAACTATCTATTCATTTAATTTAAAAAATAACTCACATTTATTTTCTTTTAATAAATTTTAATAATATTAATCATGATAATTTTTTTCAAAGGGAAAGAATATTTTTAGAAAAAAGGTGAAACTTTTTCCAATATAAAATTTTCAGTCTCGACAGAATGTCATTAAAAAAAAGCAGTCTACGATGACGTTATAAATATGATAGTAGCTGTCATCGAATTGAAAACAATTTAGCAAATGATATGTTTTAATGCGTAGGGTGAAAAAAAAAGAAAAAGTGCGTGTACGAACTTCGTGTACCTTATTCTTTAATATGTCTGCTGGTACGCTAGATAGATATTATTTATAATCAACTTTCAACAGGGGGTGATGTGTATAATATTTTCTTTTCTTTTTTTTCACGAACACGAAATGGAAAGTATAAGGGGATGCATAAATGCGTGACGGTAGATGGTGGAAATCATACTTAATGATCGACACTCAAATGTAAGCATGCAACAATCGTGCAATAACACGAGGACTATACGATAAGAAATTTTATGTAATGACAACTGAGTATTTTCTTTTTATTTCTTTTTTTTTGTTTATGACTGTTTTGGTTATTAATGTTTGGAATTTTTTCTTTTTGCTGTAAAAAATTAGTCTGGACAATTTACAAGTGTTGATGAGAGATAACTTAATGTGGTGCCATGGGTAAAAGGGTGATTTTGAACTAAATGTCACAGTTGACTTTGAACATTGATTAATAAATCTGATTATCAATTAATTATGCAAGTGAATGTTGCATTTTTTTTATGAAATAAAAATTTGAATTTAATGTTCACTGCTTTCATTTATTTTTGTAAGTTGTTATCATTATCGTGAATAATCGTTTGAAATTTTTCTTTTTAAATTGCGACAGTCTCTAATGCAGTTGTCATTCTCATGTATCATGAAATTTTTATCTGATTATTAAGCTTTGATGTGAAACAATTTAATAAAAAGTAGATCAATTTTTTTTGATAATTCTTTTTAGAAAATGAATTCCTGGAAACTAATGCAATTAATAGTTTTTTATATAGAGGACAATTTAAAGGATATAATAATAAAAGTAACGTAAAAATGGCAATTGAAGTATATAGTGTAGGTTTTTAGACTTTATCGATGAAAATGATCTTTAATTCTACCAAAAAAAGATACAAAGTATACTTCTATATAAATATTCTTCTTGCTATCATGTTGTACTTCAAAAAATTGCTTTGACGATAAAATTAAAAACTATAAAAGTCCCCTTAATATTTTTATCCCTTGATAAATTAATGTTATTTTAATCGAAACAATTTTTCTAGAGTCACAAAATTATTTCCCAACTTCTTTATCACTTCAAGGACTAAACTTATCAATTAAAAAAGTTAAAAAATAGGGAATAAGTTGCAAAAAATATACAAATGTATACAAAATGATGCTGATAAGTGATAAATAAACAGCAAAATTGATAAAAGAAAAAGACAAACATGCAATTGAACACGTCAGATATGTATGAATCGTGAGAAAAAATATTTAAAGACATAAGTCGGATATAATTATGAAGCTTCAAGTCTGTATAGATCTCATTAACAACATCAAAGTGCAATGCATTTTATATAGTCCTGGAATCATGTGTGCAAAGAATAAATACTAACTGCTCAGTATATTAGCATTTAGTAATTACCTTATCGACCAGATCGGCCTGTACCTCTGGCATATCGAGCTTGTATCTCTGTTACGTCCTTTGCGCCTTTCCTGGCACGCGAACATACGATATATGTTCACATAATGTCTAGAGTTACATATATATTTTTTTAAATGAGAATCTTATTGACTCGTCATGAACTTATGTACACTTTTCTTTCACATTTTCTCTCGTTATCTTATCTCTGCAACGAGATTTTATTTTCAACATAACTATCGATCCATACTTTTTTTCATGTTTCAATTAAACAAAATGATCTTTCCACATCAAATTTATTTTTTTTTCTTCTCACAGATTTATTTATTTTTTTCTGCTTTAATTCTTCTCACCATAAATTATTTAAATATTTTATTGTGCACATCTCATTACAATTAATAATTAATTATTTTTGAATTATTGTCGTTAATTATGCTGTTAAAAAAAATAATGCTGAAAGTATTGAGAAAAAATTATTATAGAAAAATAATGATAAAATAAATGAGAAGAGTTCAATACAGTTTTAATAAAGAAAAGAAGAATCTATGTCTGTGTCGCGCGCAACCAATGACATCACGTAAAATACACGCGGTCTGCGGATTGAGTAAGGTCAGGGCCACGCGCACTCTCTCCCTTAGTTTTCACGTGTGCTTGTCCCGTGAGCACGATCTACACGGAGACAGCGCGTGATCGCCATCGTGTTTTTCAGGGCGTCAGCTTTTATTCGTCCATATGTACATAAATATTTTTTCTTTCACACTATGTAGATATGTAATGTTATATACCTCTGCAAATTTGTTCACCAGATATATCTATATATAAACATATATAAGCATACATACAGGTATGTTTGTAGATGAATACAATGCTGTTTAGAGTTTACACATAGCGTTTACTCACTGGAGTACATATGCAGCCATCATTTGTGTACGCTTCGTCACATGTGAAACATCAACTAGCTCCACATGAGTTATGTGTACATAATCTGCACACAACCAATGAATGAAAGGGGCGATCAATGACCTATAGTTTCGTTTATACATGACATAGTCGAGTGATTCGCTGGTTTCCCTGATCTAGGAAATGGTATTCGTGGATTTGATATGTAAATTTCCTTGGACATAGCTCAGAAATCGAATAAAAGTGATAGAGAAGGTTTAAATAATTATTTGAAAGCTGAAAAGAATTTTTTTATATTAAAAATTTAGAAAAAAGAAATTAGATAGTATAAAAATTATTGAAGAATATTATTATTTATTATTAATCATCAATTATTATTTTAAGTAACTATCAGAACTGAATTCTTAACAATACTACCATGTCAATCCCAAAAAAAATATTTCATTGAGACTATTCGAAATTTTTATTTTATTTGTTGAAAAAATATTACTTGTTCACAATCAATTTTTTTCTCAGCATATATTTAAAAAATGTAATTACCTGTCATGGATAATTTTTTCTATTGGTTTTATTTCATTAAAAAAAAAAAAATTGTTATTAGTATTAATAAATGATTATGATGAAAAATTTTTTATTAATTAATTAATTTAAAAAATGTATGTAAAAAAAAAGGGATTTATCAAAGTATTGATATGACTACTCTAATTAAATAAATTAGTTGTCAATTAAGGACTAAAGGCATTACACAAAAATGTATTGTTAAGCATAGTTAGTACTAATAGCCATAAAGTAGAAACTGGTAGTTATATTCTTCAGGTCGGACAGTTAAAAGAGTATACTGATCATTATTAATTGGTTAAAGTTTACAGGTAAACAAAGGACATTAAATAAATGACCATAGCGCAGTATAAGTCCTCGGAGATGACTAGAATTCAGTACCTGCTTCAACAGAATTAGGATTACTGCACGCCTACTGCGAATAATCGTGCTATAAAGGCGTGACATGGCACACCATACTCACGATGGACAATGGTCAGTTGGTGGCGGGTGGTTGTATTGTCCTGTCAGTTTCGGACCTGTCGGAATAGGATGCAGGTGCGTACCACTATAATGTATTAGACTTGTCAACGTTTTCCCTGCGATGCCACGGATCGGTATAAAATCTACTTTTCTTCATTCTGCTAACTAAAGTCGACATCAAATCTTTTCGAGTTTATTTACTTTTTTTAATCATTATCCGACTATTCTGAGGCAATAAAAAAATTCAAAGAAATTTTTTTTTAGATCGATTTTGAGAATCATTGAATACGGAAATAATCTTGACGAATAAAAAATGAACAAAAGAATTTTTAAAAGTATTTTTTTTGAATAAAAACCAATATTTTTAGGACCATTTTTAATCATTTAATATTTAATCATTAATAAGAAATATTTCGTGATAATAAAAAAATAATTATTTAGCCGCAATTATTCTAGTGAATTAAATACAATTATTAAGTATTTTTTAAACAAATCCCTTATTATTTGTGAGGAATATTATCAATAGTTTGATTAATAATAATTAAAATTCAATAGAAAAATAATATTAATTTTAATTTATCAATTATTTATTTATTTTTTTATTTAAATTAATTGTTATCTCTGTTAACAATTATTGATAAGACTAGGTACTTTCTATGAGAGTATTGCGTTTTAAGTGTACAAGTAATTGCAATAACAAGTTTATGCACAATAGTACAATATTCCAACGTTTTCATAAAAGATAATACAAAGACTTGTTAAAATTTTTTGTGGTTCCCATCATTTTCATCTTGGACTACTTTCTCTTCTAATAACCTTCTCGCAAATGGTTCCATTACGACCATTAACGTATAATTGCCATAAGGATCTTTCAAACAAAATTTTAAAAATAATTTTCATTCCTCATCTCTATCATTATTATTTATTTTTCGTTAGCATTAAAAAGAAGACAAGCCAAGTGCGAACAAGTTATAGCACAAAATAGATCCATAATATATGTATATGTGTATTAAGCAAAATTGAAGACAGTGCTAGTTTAGCAGGAAGAAAGACAAAATATACATGGGCCGGCAGAGTACACTCTAATTACGACTAATTTTGTTAATTACCGTGAGGTACCACAAGAGACCCCCTCATTTCTCGTGCTGGCCCGACTAATTCTGGGGTCCAACATTGTGTCTAGACTTTAAACAACGTATCTGAACACGTCTCACGGTCATGATGGAACAGGTCCCGAAAAATTTTGTGCCTTCTTTCTCTCTCACTTCTCGCGTCTGCTCTTTCTCCTGCAATTATACACCATACTTATTCCACCCTCATTGGTGATTTTGCATTCTTGCATTCGCGTGAGAGCTGATTGCGTTAATTTGACTCATGCCTCAAGCTCATATTCCTTTTCTTTCTATTAACTTCTCGATATAATTTTACCCTGAGAATATGAATATTAACTACATGATAAAAAATATGAAAAATCAACGAAATTATTGATTCGCACAAAGTAATGATACTTTTATGAATATTACCCTTGACAATAATAATTATACGAAATTAACAAAACTATATAATTTTAATGCAACAAAAAAATTTACGTAATGAATAAATTAAAAAAATTTATTCTTTACCTAGATTAAAAAAATACATTATTTCAAAGTAATTATGTCTAAAAGGATCTTAACAATTATTTTAAAATTATTCTTTATATTTTTCTATGTAATTTCTTAGATATGTGTGTATAAAAAATATTCTATTCAAAAAATTAAATTTTTTTTCTCAAGAATTCTCAGAATTGTGTATCCTAATTTTAAATATCATATTCCGATGAATTGGGGATGCAATTAAAAACCTATTTTCCCTAGTTTACTAGTTTTTTATTACACCATTTTTTTCATCCCTTTACTGCTCTATAAAAAATCAAAAAAGGTAAAAGAAAATGATTTTTTAATAGTTAAGAATAGTATGTTATTGTTGCGTTAAATGGTATATTTTTCTTGGAATATGAATTTTATACAGAAACCTGTAAACCATTAATTGTAGCTCATTGTTGATGGTCATTTAGGACCAGCTAACTCCCCAGAGACTAAAAATACATAATTCATCATGAAAAACCAAGTGTTAGAATTTATACAACTACCTAATATATTCGTGCAACACAGGAAACAGCTTTTGAAATGCCACCAGTTATGGTGGTTCAGGTAAATTTTAAGAAAATAATGGAAACTATCGACAGAAAAGATTAAAAGGCTTACATATAGTGTCTGGAACCAGCAACCGCGCAGTGTCAAAGAGACCATAAAATCCACCGGGGGTTCCCTTAGTGCATTTTTTGGTAGACAAAGCCTAAAGTAATTCACGAAACGTTTCAAAATCGTCACAAGGGTGCAAGAACAATATTTTTGTTTGAACGAGAGTTATAGCATCACCTGCTAGACCCCCGCTTGTCCATCTCCATGGAAAAATCTATTGGTTTTCGTATACCTGACATTCTATTCTCTCAAAATCCGTGGGACAATATTCTCTCACGTGCATCTCACCATATTCTTTAGATTTGAGGATATTTTCACCTTAGATGGACCAATCATAAGAGTCTTCATTTTTTTTTTAAAAGAGAAATTTAGTCTGATTTTCTATTGGACGTTTTGATATTCTATATGATGGGGATTAGTTTGCTAAATCAGATGAAAAGACATTCCAACTGATTGATTGGATTGTTCTCTTTTCTTCTTATTTATTTATTTGCATTTTTTATTCAATTCAGTAAACAATAATTTTTCAAATTAAAAATTTAAAAACTCTTAGAATTGATGATTGAGAAAATTAATCATCAATTTTGTATTTCAGAATACAATAAAAGAAAAATAAAAATACGTTGAATCATCATTCTACATTAAAATTCTAGAAAAAAATTCTTTCAAAAATTAATAATAACTTTGTCCATTAATTATTCAAATTATTAAACAGAAATAATTGTTCATAAATACCTCCTGACAGTTGGAATAATTTCTTTTGAAATGTGAATGTTGTGAATTCGAAAAAGAGATTATTCCCTATTTTGGTTGAGGAGTTTATTTTAAAATACTAGATAAAAATAATTCAATTCTAAATAAATTTACATTGAAAATCAGAATAAGAGAAGACTTAGAAGGGATTAGATCATGGAATTTTTACATCAAGATTCTGAGAAAATTTACTAAAAAATTTAGAATAGATCCAAGCATTGTCTGGAGGCGCCCAGCAGTCTAGTCCCTTCGGATTTTCTTTCCACGTACGGCATATACTCAAAGATACAGGTTGAAAAATGTGTACGACATGAATATCAAATTTCTGAATACGTGACAGTTCATTTAAACTAATAATCTCTTATTATGTATCGGTATATAATCAATGTTCGACGCATTTATTATAATTGCCCTTGCAATATATTATAAAATATATAAAATAAGGGGGAAAATGTTATATCCCTCATCACATGCACGCATATGTGAGAAGTGAAAGGGGTAATTTTTATAAATTAGGGACATTCAAGTTTCAAGTGAGGTAGGTTAAGACTACCGTACTGTTGACGATACCTCTGTAACTTCCATAGTTTTGATACTTTCCCTACATATGGTTTATTTTTAGGTATAAGCCGATGAAAATTGACCATGAGACCCTGACACACTGTCGTACGGGTGATAGGAAAACGTATAAAAAATTTATATCCACCATACAAGGGGCTAAACTGCATAATTTTGCTTGAAGGAACATTTTTCTTGCACACAAACATAAACAGTTTGTTGTTAAACAATAAAATAAAAAAATCTGCATTTTATACTACTGAATTCATTTGGAATATTTTTCAAGAATGGAGAAAAATATTTACTATTTTTTAAGTTCAAATTTTTTTTTACCTCATCTTAAAATCCAGATGTTTTTTTTTTTGAGTGAAAACTGCAGTTTGAAATTTTTATTACGGTCGAAAAAAATTTTTTTCAAGCAAATCTAAACGACCAGAAACGTGATGTTATGTTAATTAACAGGTTTAGTCATTGTTTGAAGTGTAAAATTTCTACAAAGTTGATTGTACTCCATAGTTTCTTTGACCTCTACTCATTCATAGAAAAACCAATACCTGATGTTCATCAATGAATAGGTTTTTCCACACTTTACAACTTGCAATTCATACAGAGAGTTTTTCTCGTCTTCTGTAAAACCATTTGCACTGTCAAAAATAATTTCATTAATCGTAAAGAAAAAGAAATTAATAATTACCTCTATAAACAATTAGAACACTAATAGAAATAAATACTCACTGACTTCCTGACTTGGAGCAATATTTTGTCAAGTTTTGATAGAAGCAGCAATTTTTTTTCTCCATCAAAAATAAAATGTGTGTCCATGATATATAAAGCATGTGTACATATATCCGTTGTTAAGTGTTTTAGACTTAGATGTTAGAAGACTCGCTTGGACCCAACACTCATCAGGTAGAGATTTTATACCTGGCACCCGCGCGTTCCATTCAAGCGGTTTAAAAATCTTCTTGGTTATTTTTACTTAGCTCTCTCGAGCAACTATTGTCTCTCTTTTCGTTTCACAATCCTTACATTGTTCCCTCTCCCCTTATCTCTATCTTTATTTACCAAGTCCCATCAGGCCAACCAACTCGGTGCTGATGCTGCAGTGAAGGCCCCAGTTATCCCTCTTCATAACCCGGAATTCCGCGCGTTAGCTTGATGGACCTGTTCACTCCAGTCCCAGCACCTTTTTACATGCTTTTTTCCCGCACGTCCATGAGATACTCGCTGACTACTGAATCGTATAAAACGTGTATAACTTTAATCCTTCGCAATGTTTCGCGTGTGCAGGTATAATTTTACAGTAACATGACTAATTCACTTTTTCTATTTATTTTATACTCCCTTATTATTTCTTACATTTCGTTATTTTTTTCTGTAGCTTTGTGTAGCTGCTTTGTAATTATTGATGAACAAAAATGTCTGCTATGTCTATGTAAAAAAATATTTTAATTAAAAAGATGGATCTGTTCATAAAACACCTAGCCAACTGATAATAAATCATCTGCCGCAATAATCGAC